TAAGAATATTGTTATCAATAAAATGTCTTAAAATAGCTATTTATGGACACCAGGACTGACACCAACTGCTTCTGGTGTCCGTCTGATCCGCTAATTGAATATTAGACTCATTTGCTGACCAAAGGCCTGGGGTTTGGATAATCTTTTGGACCAATTCCTCGAAAGCGCATTCGACGCCTTCCTTAGTCTTAGCACTGGCTTCGATGAAGAGCGTGTGATGTCTTCGCGCCCATTGGAGACCTTCTTCACGAGTGACAACTCGGCCCTCCTTTTCATGAAACAAACAATAAGACAATGAATGCATGAATACAATGGACACAAGACTTGACAGAAGACTAGTGACAACAGAAGACAAGTGATTGAATACTTTATCGATTTTGTTGGCGACCAACATCTTGACGACATCCGAGTGCGTGCAGTAGGCGTCCACTTCTTTAAGCCAATTGTCCAACCGATCGAATGTAGGTCTTTGGGTCACATCGAACACCACAATCACACCGTGAGAGCCGCGGTAGAAGTTCGGGGTCAGCGCCCGGAACCGCTCCGAGCCCGCAGTGTCCCAAATGGCCAAAGACACCACCGATGAGTCCACTCGCATGCGAGTCGTCTTGAAGTCCATTCCTGTAACACATATAGTGCTCACCAATTGGTCAGTGATGGACAACTCGTGTCCATTGGTGTCAATGAATACAAACCAATAGTTGCGGGCATTTCTGTGGCAAACGTGTCATCAGTGAAACGAAGTAACAAACTGTTCAATGGTTCAGACAATGGTTCAGACAATGGTTCAGACAATTGATTCATTCAGACAACAGTAATCACACCATTGCTATGACTTGTAATCATTTCATTTGATGCACACATACCTCGACTTTCCCACAAAGGATTCGCCGATTATAAGTATCTTAAGAGTGGTTAAGACATCTTCCTCCAAGTCATCCATAAGTCATTCAAAGAGTGTATTCAGTGAACAACTGATTGTCAAACAGTCGCACAATAAAAGTCAAATCAAGTCAACAGTCATATGACTCACACACAGAAGACATTCAATGATTACGTAATGTTTACAAACACTCAAAAGTCATGTGTTTTGCTCACAAACAACGTTACAGTGAATGAGTGGCTGAGAGTTGTTTCGTTGGGATTTCGGTTGGATTTCATTGAATGAGTGATTGATTTGATTGAAGAGGTCTGAAGAGGTCTGAAACATGTCTTCGAAGAGGTCTAAAGCCAAGCGAAACAAAGGCACGACTCTTGAGGAGCACAATGAGGGCACGACTCTGTTGCCGGGTATGTCATGACATTGGATCCAATTGATACCAATTGAGATGTCATGTGATGTTTGTGTCCAACAGGTCGTCGTCCGTGTCTTTGCGAGGCATCCAAACACCAATTAGTGGCCAATTGTCTCAATTGCGGCCGAATTGTGTGCGCACAGGAGGGCACCGGTAGTTGTTTCACATGCGGCCAAACGGTGATGACTCGTGAGCAGAGACAGGAGCTGAAGATCCAGCAGAATATAAAACAGTTGGCAATCGACGAGCTATTGTCTGCCGCAGAGAGCAAACCGATGGTCAGCACTGGTCTGAAGGACATCGCCGCCAGTTTTGAAGCGCATAGGAATCTGGAGAAAGCGATCGGACATAAGG